ACAGACAGACAGACAGACAGACAGACAGACAGACAGACAGACAGACAGACAGACAGACACACAGACACACACACACCTTTATTAGTACTTATCAACAGCCTGCATGTTGTGCTGCCCACTGACCTGGAAGTGGGCAGGAGGTCTGGCTCAGAAACCCCTATTGTCCGCTCACGGAAAACATGATTCCTGCCATTAGGGGCAGAGGTAATGAGGTGTGTGTGTGTGTGTGTGTGTGTGTGTGTGTGTGTGTGTGTGTGTGTGTGTGTGTGTGTGTGTGTGTGTGTGTGTGTGTGTGTGTGTGTGTGTGTGTGTGTGTGTGTGTGTGTTTTTCATACAGTGCTATTACTAAGTGCGGATGTTTTTGCTCTCCTCAGACGGTGGGGGTCCTGACTGTGGCAGAGGCCTCTGTGTCTGGAGGGTATCGCTGCGTCGCCTTCAACGCTGCCGGAGCAGATCAGCTCCACGTCCACTTCTACGTCACAGGTGAGGAGAGGACAGGAGAGGTTCTAGTGAGCATCTTATTTCAAAAGCAACAGATCGCAACAGTCAATAGAGGAGTCACACCACACTTTATTTTTTTGAATAAAGCAATTTTCACAAAACCCAATTTCCTCCTGGGTTAGTTAAATATTATAATTATGATTCTGACCTTGGGTGATTGTAATGCCTCTGCTTTATTGTCTTTACCAATAAATCACAACTCAAAGGTGCTCAATTAGTAACGTAAACATCTGACACTTGCTTCAGATTAGACATTATTAAATGATGTCTATCTGGCTACCCCTTTGTGAGTTCCTCATGTGAAAATGTGAAGTACCAGATCCAAGTAATTAAAAATGAAACTGATGAAGTCACACGCTCATTATTGTAGGTTTAAACTTGGCAGAACAAAGTAGCCTACGTGCATTGGATACAAACTGCCGTTGTGTGTGTGATATGAGGTTAGATTTGTTACTAGGCGTACAGGTAAAGGTTTTTTGTGTATTTGTGTCAGTGCTACGGCTGAGTGTGTGAGCAGGAGTGAAACAGGAACCTGGGGCTCTTATCGTTCCACTTCCCCGTGCAGCGCACTTCCTTGGACTGGCAGGTCCGCTTTATTTCGGGAGGCCTTGGGGTGTTCGGGAAAGATAAACACTATCTGCCATCAGGAAACTCTCGAGCCGTTTCCACGGGAAGTTTCAAATGGCTAAAGTAAATAAAAAGCCTTTTCACTGTATTCCACTAGCTGCTTTTACCCACAATAGCCATTCAACTTTGTCGTCAAAGGTTACAGAAATGGAGGTTGGAGCTCTCCTGGTTTCAGACAGGATCGCATGTGGAGAAACTGAGAGGTGTTTTCAAAATATCCTGTTCATGGTTCCTCTTCTTCCAAATCTTTCTCCTCAGATGTCCCAGGAGGCTTCAGTGTGAGTCAGAGGGAGGAGCCTAGAGAGGGCGGAGACCTCCATCTCACCTGTTCAGCCAATAAGTACCTGTATGGTGCGTTATCATGGCAACGGGTGAATGACACAGGGCACGCCCAATCACGCGGCCCCGCCCCGCAGCAGCAGCAGCTCACATCCGGCGAGTTCTCCAATTCACTGGTCCTGTTACTAAGCAACCTAACAGCCACAGACTCAGGAGCCTACAGATGCTCCACCCACCACCTGGTCACCGGGCAGAACACACACAGGGACACACAGGTGGAGGTCACAAGTGAGTGCTGATCCTCTTCATCTCCCTCCTCCTCTTCATCTCCCTCCTCACCGTGTGGAGTCAATATAAGGCTTTAAATGAAAAGTATGGAAACATAGAAGGGCCATACTATTATAAACCATAGTTATAAACAAGTGAATATCTAACTAACATTTAACCAATACTAAATATATAATGTTGACATTTAAATACCACTCAACTACAATGTATTCTAAAAATCCGTCTAATTGAACTTGAGCTTCAGACTTCAGAAAAATGTCAAGGTAGAATATTTGAATGCTATTAATTGAATGCTAATTAACTTTTAACCAGAGTAATACACTTCACTATAGGCACTACTATTTAGTTACATACATTTCAAATAATTTAACTTCTCTTTGCTTCCATACAAATCGTGTTATGCATGAATTGATGGACTGACTTATTCAGAGATCCCAGAGCTGAACAAGGGCCCCCAAATTAGATTATTCGTTAATATAAATCAATTATTCAGGCCTTCAAAAACGTTTTTCTTGATGTCTGATTACCGAATTGTAATCAAATTTAGGTTGTGATCTCTCGCTGTTTTAAACCCACACCCCCATGTTTTCTGTGCACAAACAAACAAACAAACAAACAAACTCTCACAGGGCCTCGCTGCTTGGGAATTGGGTCCCCTCAGCTTCCTGGGGCCCCACCCTGCCTTTGCTCTTGCGCTCCAGCTCAGCACCTCTTTCACGTGGGAATGAGCCCTTGCCTGGAGGAAGAGCACACAATGGCACTTCCCACAATGCCACATTTACAGGCCCCCACACAGGGCCGGAGGAACAATCAGCCAATCAGACACTGTCAGGCCGCAGCCCCCGCGGACAATCCTCAATTGTTGTCCAGGAGGAAGATCGGGGAAACAACAATCAGTCGCCTTGGTTAAGTGACTTTTTCTTCATGTCTTTTACTGCTGTTCTCCACACAATCAGGGCCCAACACGTCAACTTCCTCCCGCGGGACCCCCACAAAGGAATTACTAGAGAGACAGGGTGACCACAAAGAAGCTAGGGAGCCAAAAAGTGAGAGAACGGAGGAAAATTAAAGCATGGGATCATCTGGATACACCAAAGGAAACTGAAACCTGCATTGTGTGCACTCATGACTGTTCACATGATGAAATACTACATTGTGTGGTATTTCAGGGTGAGTAAGGGGCCCAAGAGGACTCAGCTGACTCACAGGTTGAAACCAAGGCCACACACATCTAGAAAAAATGTGTCACTGCCATTTATTGTCTAAAAGTGGCACGGGTCCAGAAAAGAGTGGGAAAAAATAGCTCTGCTTTTACGTCACCACAGATCTGCTTGAGTCTATAAATAACTACAGCTGTTATCAGCTATTGCAGGTTCAAAGTATGAAAAATAAAGGAGACAAAATGCAGAATTATATTACTATTATATGCAGGAATGTGTTAACTGGTGTGAGTAGATGAAATGTCTTTTAAGATGATTAGATATTTTAATGTCATTGTTCAAATCTACAAATTAGTTTTCAGATACTTGTTACATTTACATAATACCCTTCAGAAATATGTAGAACAAAAGTGGCATAAATGGAAAATATTCAAGTAAAGTACAGAATTTAGTACTTGAGTTAATGTTCTTAGTAACATTAGACCCCTGTTTATAAGTCACAATTTGCACAAACACACACATATTGACGGTGTGTGTTTTTTCTTTCAGTTTTGGAGCCTCCAGTGCTGCTTGATAATCTCACAGATTGCACAGTGAATGTCAGCAGCTCCGTCTTCCTCAGCTGTCCGTCTGCAGGTGTCCCCCCCCCCACCGTCACATGGTACAAGGACGAACAAGCTCTCTCTCAGGGATCAGGTATTACAAATGTACCATAAACATGTCAACTGTAGTAATGATCTGGTGTCTGACAAGTGTGTACCACCGTCTTCAGGTATTGTGATATCCCCAGACGATGGGACCCTCAACATTGATCGAATCACAGCGGAGGACCAGGGTCTGTATACGTGCCAGGCGACCAATGAGAGGGGGTCTGCAGAGAGCTCTGCTTATATATGGGTTAATGGTAAGCATCTGTCAACCAGCAGCCAATCAAAGGCATCCCGGCCTTTGATTGGCTGTGTTGACTTCTTCTCACAGATAGGACACTTCCATATATGGATATGTCTGAATGTCCATTGTTCCCAGCTCTGTGAACAGATGTATAGTCTGGATGTACACACATTCAAAACATCACTTTATTTTAGGTGTGTTGTGTCATTCTCTATTAATGGGAGAGGATATGTCTGTTCTTGAGAATATTGATCAAAGAACACACTCCTTTGTTGAGTTCTACGTTCTACACACACACGCACGCACGCACGCACGCACGCACGCACGCACGCAGGCAGACAGACAGACAGACAGACAGACAGACAGACAGACAGACAGACAGACAGACAGACAGACAGACACACGGCGGGTTGTGGTGGAATAGCATTGTTTGAGCACCATTATGTGTGGAGTAGTGGGCGCTTTTTGTGTGTGTGTGTGTGTGTGTGTGTGTGTGTGTGTGTGTGTGTGTGTGTGTGTGTGTGTGTGTGTGTGTGTGTGTGTGTGTGTGTGTGTGTGTGTGCGTATGTGTGTGTGTGTGGTTGTGTTCTGATCAGTCAGGAAGGAAGCTGTCTCCCGTTTTTATTTCCTCCAGAAGGGCCCTGCCTAAATCTCAGAGTCTTGGTTTTCTACCGGGTTGAGCATTTCATACTTCCCATAAGGAAATAATAATAATTGGTATTTAATAGGGGGGATGGATGTTAATGCAATATGGATTGATTGTGAAAACACACCGTTTTGAAAGTATTATTGAAATTCTCACCAAATAATATTATTTATCTGCCTTTGATTTTCTCCATTTCGCAATAAACTGAGATGAATGTATAACAGAATTCTAGTTTTATCAAGATTACATTGTTCAAAGTCCTAAGCAGGCCTGCTTTCGTGTATTAAGTTCACGTAATAAAACTCAAAATGTAAATCTATTCAAGCACTGACGTGTGTTTGTGGTGCTAGGTGCCTCTGAAGCCTCCTTCCTGCAGATCCCAGCTCTCACCTGTACCTGTGTGGTGGCCACTCTGCTCTGGCTGTTTCTGACCCTCGTCATACGCAAACTGAAACAGGTGAGAGGAAACTAGATGAAGCTCATTTCTGGTTTAAAGAAACAAATATGTTGTCTGTTTTCTGGGTATTACTTTTGTGAGTATTGTTATCTTTCTTTGAGTTGAGAGTGGTCTCAGAATCACAAAATGCTACTAGTATCATCAATAATAATGATGATAATGGTAAAGGATGGATGGGTGGACATTAGTTGTATATTATTGTATATTTTGACATTTATTCTCCACCTGCCAGGCCTTCTTTGTTCCTTCCTTGGCTAACACACATCAATACATCCTTGAAAAAACACTTCAAATGTGTTTGAAGTCTCTTACAAATCTACACGTTTGGAATTGTATACTCTAGTATGGCTTTTTCAGTTTTAAAACATACGTTACCCTCTTCTTTCTCCATAGCCCAGCAGCTCAAACACCAAACCAGAGTTCCTGTCAATCATTCTGGACAGAGGAGGCGGACCAATGGAGGAGCCGTGCGAGAGACTCCAGTACGACCCCAGCCAATGGGAGTTCCCTCGAGAGCGGCTCAAATTAGGTAAACTCATTTAATTTATAACAAACAAACAAAAATGTTTTTCTAACCACAAGTGTCTTTGGGAGTATAATGCTGTTACGATGTGAGGGAGGGAAGTTATTTAAGATCACACCACAGATAGAAGGACTTTCTCAGAGGTCTTATCGGTTATTATTGGGAGTGATTCCATTAATCAGACTTGTGTTGTCTGCGTTGAGCTTATCACCTCCAGTAAACTGTGTTGACTCGAACTAATCAGCTCACAGGGTGGGATCCAGCTAGATGGACTGTTGATGAAGTCTTCTCTTATCAGCATCTCACGTCCAGGGTGGATATAGTAATTAATAAAGTAGCTCAATTAGACTCCACAACCCTCCCCCCCCCCGTCAGCCCCCTAACAGTCTCTCCTCTCTCAGGGAAGCCTCTGGGCCGCGGGGCCTTCGGGAAGGTGGTGCAGGCGGCTGCCTTCGGGATAGAAAGCACCACCAGCTGCACCACTGTGGCTGTGAAGATGCTCAAAGGTACAGGCAGTAGGACATTCACTCAGGCACTTTACTACTGTATGTTCATGTAATGCTTCTATATACTTCGACTGTACTTCCTAAAAAGGGAAATAATGCACTTTTCAGATAAAGATTTTGCATTGAGATCAACTATACCATAATGCAGCTTTATCATTGAACCAGTGGACTTACTGTTAAAGGTACAAAAAGGTTGAATCATCCAATATATTACACAATTGAAAAAGAAAATCCTGACATAAATCAGTGTATATTGTCTACAAAAGTAATCGAATAATGTCACATAATAATAAACAATATATGTTATAATATACTACATGTTATGTATTGTAGTTAAACCGTGAACATTGTTGCCTTATATTCTCATGTTAATTGAAATATTTTACTTATTGCACATTCTTACTTGAACTTATTACAGTTAGCTACATATTTTTATTCTATTTAAAAGTATTTGTTTAACTACTTTAACTATATTTTGCGGATAATACTCCTGTTCTTTTATGGACTTTTACTTTTTGACATTATTGTATTGGTACTTTTCTAGTAAGGAATCTGAGTCCCTTATTTACCTCTGGGTGAAAGATTCCTAATCGGAAAAGAAAGTACTCTAACATTTCTGCCACTCTTTTCTACCCTTTGTCCACCAGAGGGCGCTACAGCCAGCGAACACAAGGCTCTGATGACTGAACTGAAGATCCTCAATCACATTGGACATCATCTGAATGTAGTCAACCTCCTGGGAGCATGCACCAAGCCTGAAGGTGTGTGTGTGTGTGTGTGTGTGTGTGTGTGTGTGTGTGTGTGTGTGTGTGTGCGTGTCTGTCTTTCCCGTATGTGTGTGTGTGTGTGTGGCTGTGAGGCTGTGTATTCCCATGCGTGTGTGTGTGTGTCTGTGTTCCCTTTGCACGTGTGTTTTAAATAAGCCTGTTGATATAAGTTCATTTCAGTGCATGTATAGGTGATGTATGTAATAATGTGTGTTTTTCTGTGTGTGCAGGGCCACTGATGGTCATTGTCGAGTACTGTTGCTATGGAAATCTGTCTACCTTCCTGAAGGGCAAGAGAGAAGTGTTTGTGTACGACCGTGTGAGTCTACAGACAGAGAGATGGTTTCATGATAGCAGTGTTTCACACACACAGGACCACCATGTCGTGCAGAGAGAGATCACACATACCTCTGCACACCACACTTCTCCTTGCAGTGCAAATGGCCCCTTCGCGCACTTACAAAATGATACATTTAAAAGCACTTCTGCAATCGGTTTGAGGTTCTAAAATGTTATCAGGTCTCAAGCAGGACGTGCACTTCCTTAATTTCTTCACAGGTTTAGACACAAATACCAACGGGGCCTCAGGGGTCATTTTCACGAAGCGTGTTTAGGAAAAAACTTCCAACAAATCATTCTGTTGCAATGTTGACTCTTTTCTCAAAGTATATCTGATAAACACTAACTGATTTCTTCTCACCTGGTGGATTAAAGGATGGAGAGCCAGGTTTTGTCAGCAGTGTGTTTGATGACAATACAGAGAATCACCTAGGTAAGACAGGAGCTTTAGTAACATGTTCTTATGAGTGTGCATGATAGAAACAGCTTGATTAAATCCCTGTCCCTTCCTCTTTCCTCTAGACACCAAGTCTGGCTCCAACTCTCCTTTATTCCTGGAGGATCTGATCTCCTTCAGCTTCCAGGTGGTGCGGGGGATGGAGTTCCTCGCCTCTCGCAAGGTTTGATACCCGACGTCTGTGTTTGTGGATGCTGTACACATTCCTTTATATCACATGTTGCCCTCTCTGTGTTTCTGCTGCAGTGTATCCACAGAGACCTGGCAGCCAGAAACATTTTGCTTTCTGACAATAAAGTGGTGAAGATCTGTGACTTCGGCCTGGCCAGAGACATCTACAAAGACCCCGACTACGTCCGCAAGGGAGATGTGAGTACATGTGAGCAATGTGGCTCCAAAAGCTACACTCTGAAAGTTTTACATAACCATTTGTATTCATAAAACGTCATGAGATACTCGAGGAAAGCTCGGGGGTTAATGCATATTTTTTGCAGATCACACTGAAAGCATTTTACACTTTTTATTTTCTATTTTTACAAATGAACTACCATTAGTGTTAGAAAAAGCTAAAATTGTAATGTATGCAGATGACTCAACAATATATTATGCAGCATCAACTACAAGAGAGTTGACAAATGTTATGAATAAAGATCTACTACTGATATCAGAGTGGGTCATAAATCATAAGTTGGTACTTAATGCGGGAAAAACAAAATCGTTATTAATAGGATCAAATCATCAGTTAACAGGTGAACCAAAATTGCAACTACATTTAAACCATATTGAAATTGAACAGGTCAAGGAGACTAAATTGCTAGGTATAACCCTGGATCATAAATTATCTTGGTCTAAACAAATTGATAATGTTGTATGTAAAATGGGAAGGGGTGTGTCAGTTGTAAAAAGAATTGTAAAATATTTGCCTATGGATGTCAGGAGACAAGTTTTGGATGCTTTGGTTCTGTCGCAGCTTGATTATTGTTTGGTTATATGGTCGAGTGCTGGTGAAAAAGATTTAAACAAACTACAAGTAGCACAAAGGCAGCACGATGTGCACTGCAGTGCTCCTACAGAACCAGAGGCACTGAAATGCTGGAGACATTGAAATGGTTAACTGTCAGACAGAGGTCAGCTTATATTTTATTACATTTTGTCAGAAATATTACAGTGACTCACTCACCAGATATATTATCACAAAGGTTTATAGCGCAATATGCACAACATAACTATCAAACACGACATACAATTGAAGGAAGGTTTGTATTACCCAAATCTAAATCAAATATGGGACAGAAAACAGAACAGAGCCATGATCAGCTGGAACTCTTTACCGGTTCACATCATTCAGGAACATTCTCAAGTACATTTCAAAAGGTGGCTAAAAAATTATTTAAGTATTATAAAGTAAATTTGAACTGTGCCTGTGGCTATGTATGCATCTATTATGATGTCAACTTATTTGTATTTACTTTTGTTTGGCCTTAGGATGGCGATAATTGGATGACCATTTTAGTTTTCACTTCATTTCACTGTAAATTGCATGCAATTATGAGCTGTTTTGTTTTGTTTTGTTTTTGTTTTGTTTTGTTTTAATTTTGTTGTATGTATGTTTATGTATGTTTTGTGTGTGTGAGGACCCCAGGAAGAATAGCCAATGCTCATGCTAGTGCTAATGGGGGTCCTAATAAAGACAAAGACACGCTTACTGGTTATAGTATTTCACATTTTAGGATTCATAATTACTATAATTTCATTAGTAATTCTTAGTCAAAACAACTCCAAAATGAGTTTGATTAGGGTTATTTTTTGTAGTAGGCCTACATCCACAAAACAAACTGCCATTGCCTGCACATTAATAACACATTCTGACCACAGGCCTCTTTAAAAATATTAAAGTTATTCCTGTGGATGAAACAGGACTACTGTTATTACATGGCTATACCTGACACATTAAACCACATTGCAAATGTATTTTTAATCAAACTCAGAGGAATTAAGCTCCTGTCATGAATGTGTTGCGTCTGTATTTGAAATATTAGGCAACAAACATCTTTGATCTGTGGCCTCACAACGTTTCAACCAGCCAGACTTTTCAAAGTCACGCTCTCTTTTGTAACTCCTGTGATTGTCTGACAGGCCCGCCTCCCTCTAAAATGGATGTCTCCAGAAGCCATCTTTGACAAGGTGTTCACCACGCAGAGCGACGTGTGGTCCTTCGGCATCCTGCTGTGGGAGATCTTCTCTCTGGGTAACAGATCTCTCAACATCGTTTTGCTCTAAACAAACACAAGCTGTATGTACTGAAACTACCTCACGGGATATAGTTTATTTAATAAAAAGCTTTAATGAATATAGTACACAATGTTTATCTGTCTGTGTCAGTAGATTGGTGTTTTAGAGAGTATTCTAATGTATTCTGTATGTTTTATAGTGTGTAGATACTCTTCTGAATATCGGAATATGTGTGTGATTGTCCAACAGGAGGTTCTCCGTACCCTGGTCTTCAGATAGATGAAGAGTTCTGCCACAGACTGAAGGGGGGGACCAGGATGCGAGCGCCTGAATACAGCACACCTGAGATGTGGGTCCAAAGGATTTCAACACTGTTATATGTTAGGAAGGGACGTAATGAGTTAAAGTACAATAAGTAGGGAGGTGGTACATTGAGGGTCCAAGGGAGCATGGTTTAAAGCAAGGGTGTCCAAACCGCGGCCCGGGGGCCAAATGTGACCCGTGGGCCATTTTGAATCGGCCCTAAGCAAATTCAAAAAGTATAATAAAATACGGCCCACAAATGCAACTAGTGCTTTTCTTATAATGTACTTCTTAAATATAAATGTAAAAATATATTACACAGTAGTATTCATGTGTTAATAAGACCACTTTTCAAATTAACTCAGTCAATTCAAGTTGAAAACATTTTCTAACATATCTTAGTTGATAAGATAAAAGCCCAATGACTTATTTACATAACAGCAGGGCCGTCCCTCCCTACAGGCTGATCACGCAGACTGCATGGGGCCTCACCTCGTGGAGGGGGCCTCGCCTCGCGGATGGGGCCTCACCTCGCGGAGTGGGCCTTACCTCGCGGAGTGGGCCTCAGCTCGCGGAGGGGGCCTCACCTCGCGGAGTGGGCTTCATTTGGCGGTGGGAGCCTCATCTGAAGAACAATGCCACGGCTATGAATGCGGCGCACCTACAATGTAATGCTACGTTCACACCGGACGCGATGTGAATATTCGCTTCGCTCTAAACGCTCCTGTCGCCACAGTTTGGCCGCTGTGAGGCTCCACTAGCAAGTTTGGACACCCCTGATTTAAAGCTT